TTTCTTTTGTGCCTCTTTGTGGGCCCAGGTAGCATGGATGGCGAGGGAGCCGAGGCTTGCCCACTCGGATGGAGATATCTAAGCTAGCAAGGAGATGGTGTGGATCTGCTCAGGAGGATCGAAAGAACAAAAAGACACCGAAAGACAAGAAGGACCCACATGCCCGGGTTACGCTGAAGTGCTTCGAATCAGACGAGTTCCGTCCGTCCTGCAAAAGCTGTGACCGGGTCGAGGGTTTGGGACCTCGGCATGTGCCGCAGCGTGCGACCAGGAGAAGAAGGAAAAGAAGGAGACGATGTCAGAGAGAGTTGCCACCACACAGACCCGAGCTGACACCGCAGGATAAGAAGGGCAAGGAGCAGGCAAAGCTCCTTTCACTTGCAATGGCCACTGTGCTTCCTCCGAAGGACATGCTACCAGTAGCTGGGCCCATCCAGGAGAGCATGGACGTCCCGGCTACAGTGGTCGGGGCTGCCACTGCAGCCCGGTCCTCAAAGGATGACACTACCGTCGTCTTTGGGCTTCCTTCGTTAGGGGGTGGGGGATGCTACAGCCTGACTCAGTGATACACTTGTCTGAGGACTCCAGCCCTTCAGCCGTGGAGGTCAAGCCCAAAAAGCTTAAGGCCAAGAAAGAGAAGAAGGAGAAGAAAGCTGAGCCTCTGGATCCAGAGGACCTGCAGGGCCTCCCCGATGAGGTGGGCAGAGGGCAGGTGCACGGCATTGGCATGGCCTGCGATCGAGCATGCTCCCCGCAGGCGAAGGATGCCGAGGAGCCCGAAGATCGGGAAGACCGGCATCGACCGTCCCAGGTCGCTTCAGAGTCTCTGGCCGAGCCAGTCGAGGCAGAAGTGGCAGCGGAAGCGGAGGCGGCGGAGGCGAAGGTGCAGACGGAAGTGGAGATCGCGGACGAGCCTCGCGCCAGTGATCCAGCTCTGCAGCAGTTCGTGGGCGAGCAGCCTGCAGGGGAGGAGGAGACTGGGGATTTCCCTGAAGTGAGGGTAGCCCTTCCTGACGATGAAGTGGAGCCGTTAATGAGCGGTGAGCATCGTCGCAGCGAAGTGCCGTCATTGCCGGCGGAGGACGTCACAGTCATGACGGGTTCCTCAGCTCAAAACAGCATGGAACATCCAATGACAGTTGATAGGGCCACAATGTCTCTATCTGTGTGGCACAGGTCCTCCACCGCTCCAGCTTGGGAAGGGCTCCGGCCTGGCTCACGACATCAACATCCCGGAGAGGGAAGCCTTGACCAAAAAACGACACAACACATTCATCATCATTCATCTCCTTTCCGGTTCGTCTCCTTGGTACCAAGGAAGTCGAGGGTCCTCGACGGTACAGCCTCTCTGGCCAAGAGAGCGTGCGCCGGTGTATCGAGCGAGGAGCCCGGAAAAGCCCGATCTGTCGAACGAAACCCAAATAGCAGAGATGAGACGAGACGCTGAGGTGTGACCTGATCTGGGACATGGCGGTAACGCACTGCTCCCGATGCCAGAAGCAGCTGGTGGAGGGTAGCATCCAGGCTATGGCCGGGGATGCTGCAGACAGCCCTATAAATGGTAGCAGATGCGGTCAGGTGACGGAGTTCCTAAACGGCAGCCAGCGCCTGGCCAAGGACAGGAATTCAACATGGAGTCTGCCAGGTACCATGTACCCTAGCTCCTACCTTGATCGCAGGCGTCGAAGCTACTCCTCTTTCTCTATTTCAATATATTATATATATTCTATTGGATGAATTAAAAAAATAATATATTATATATTATAAAAATAGATTATAAGTTATATCTTGGCTGAGGTTGGAGTTCCTGGAGCAGGCCTTCAAGCGCTACGATGTGGATGGCTCGGGGAGACTGGACGGCAAGGCCCAGCGCGGGGGTAGAGAAGAGATAATATGATTCTGTTGGCGTGACAGAGACACAACCTGAGCTTTCATATTTTTTTACTTTTTCTGGAGGTGTTAGGTGTTAGTGGCAAGCACTGGAATGACTCAATACAGCACTTCGGCGCTCTTGCAAGGAGGGCTGAACCTCCGAGGCCTTGGGAGGTCTTGAACTGCCTGAGCTGCACAGGAGCTTCGAATGGCCGTGCGAGAACTTGGCTGGGTCTGCAGCTCGGTGGTCCCTTGAAGTCAGCTCGTGTCTTCGTGCAAACCTCCCTTTCCGAGTGTTCCAAAGCGCACAGCCGAATTAAGATTCTGCCGTACATCGTAGATGCCCATCTCTGCAGGACACGAAGCAGGACATCTTGGACAGGTGGGCTCGCAGCGAGCCAAGATACTTGCAAACACGTGCCGGCAGATCCCCAGCAGCATGAAGTGTACCTAACGGTCAGGTTAGAAGTTGTAAGTTAGAAGTACCATAGGTAAGTTCAGTGTCAGAGCAGTGTAGCACCGGCCTTGCATTCGCCTCTGGGCCTGTTGCAGAATTTTGTCTCGCCGGCCCCAGGGTGTTTTGCAGCGACAGAGCCCCCACAGCTGGCATAGGAAACTCCGGCACCAGGGGCCCAATGCAAGGCGCCATACAACAAATAATTATGAAACGGCCCAGCCGGAGTAATTCTCATCATCGCGTGGTTATCGGTGCACCGTCGTGCAGCTTCTGAGGCGTTGGGGGAAACCAGGGCCTTAACCTGGACCAGTTCAAGAATTTGATTGCTTGGGACTCATGCTTTATGGCTTTATATGACCCGGCCTGATAATGAAAATTTATGGAATGCTTGAAATGAGGCCAGTGGCAAGCTGGGGAGGAAGACCTTCAAACCCATCACGGGGAAAGCGAGTCAGGCAAGCCCTGCTTGAACGAGCTTCTCGCTTTGAGGACTGTTTCAAGTTGAGGCAGTCAAAGATGAGAGAAGACAACTACTCGCCATGGGAGGCCAGAGGGCTTGGTGACACGCGTACTGTCAGCTTGTGTGCCTGTGATTCAGTTTGAAACCATCCCCATTGGATGATCTGACTGCGGTGTGCTGTCTCTGCAGGGGCAGCACCGCAGTTTACCGCGCGCCAGAGGCTGTGGTGTATTGACCTCCAACTGTCTTGGATCTCCTCGACTGTGCACAGGGTGTACTCCCGCTTTCGTCTTCATCGTCTTCAGTCTTTTTGTTCGTTCTTTCTGTTCAGACGCTTGGGCGTCGAATTGTCGATCGGAAGGCCGGGCCGACGCGGGGCGCTGATCCCTGGCGCGACGCAGGAGCTGCTTAAAACCGGTCCCTTGGGGGCGTTTTGCATCTTGCGGAGACCAGGAGTTGGCGCCGGACGAGCAGCCGCCCCAGCGGCGCCTGTCCGAGGAAGCTTCCAGGGAACAAGCCGTCCAGGTCGCTTTCGGTGGCGACCCCTGCGGGCCCTGCTTTCGGCGAAGGCGACCCGAGTTTTCCGAGTTCCAAAAACTCGAAGGGATTTCCTTCCCGCGAAGCTTCGAAGGCCAGAGCGTCTTCGAGGAGCTGCCGGCACATCGCAAGCTGGAGCTCATCGAGGCTCCACTCGCCTCACTGGGTTCCCCCCTCTGCTCTCGGCGTCGACGTCTGAGTTTAGGCTTGGGCCTTCTGGGACGCGGACCACTCGGGCTTCCTGGAGCCTTGGCCTTAGATGACTTGCATGTCGGAGACTCGCATGAAAAGTTGAAGCCCTAAGCACCAGACCTCCCGAAGCCTTGCCTGACCTCTTTGAGCTTGATAGAAGAAAGTATACTACTGTAGCAACAGTCGTGTGATTCCGGGGGTTCAATTCGTGGGGGGGGGGGGACTTCCAAGAAGTTCTCTCGGAGATTGGACTGGGGATGCTGGTGCATCCCTGTGCTGTAGGCGGTAGCTGTACGGGTCCTGTTGATCCTCTGGTCCGAAAACCACGCTTCTAGAGGCTCAAGTGCAGTGCCTTGAGCACCCAGGCCGATCGAGTTAATGAATGCTTCGAAAGGCCTGGTTGCAGTCAAGGGCAGGAGGCATCATTTCACTGCATCGTGAAGTCGGTCGCAGTTCGCCGAGTGTCGGAGCACGTACGGCAAGCGCATCGAACAGTTGAGCTTGTGCCATGATACGCCATGATCCTAGGTTGCTAGATCCAGACATGGTGACTTCCGCTTTTATGGAAGAGTCTCTGTGTGCCTCGATGCGCCAGGGCTGGGCTTTCACCTTCCCATCGAATCCGTCGTAGCCGCCGGATTCTGAGCACTGTGCTTGTTTGCATATTTTGCACGTGGGTTATCGGTTTACGCAGGCAGCGGTTAGGCGCGACTTTTTCTCGCTCGAGCCAGAAGCATTGTACAAGGTTGTGGAGCCTGTTTCGATAGCTGCCTACCAGTGAACCAAGCATGAGCTTACGTACTCGAAGCATTTACATCTTGTCACACCTGGGCGTCGGCCAGCCACAAGGGGCTGCTCCAAGGTGTGTGGGAAGCACGGCGGAGGAATCGACCAGGAGAATTTCGTCCGGGTCATGTCGCCGAGCTCAGTGCAGACGACTTCTGCAAGAGCTCTTTCCCTGTCGGAGACTTGAAGGTCGGTTCAGATCAAGCATCGGGACGAGGCCAGGGCCTTAAAGGGGGGTACTTTCTCATACTGGGGGCCTTTGGACGTCTCTGCCAGGAGCTGGGCCTTTGGAAGGGAGCAAACGCCTTGCCGCTGGAGGAAGAAGGGCTCGATGAGGAAGACAGGACCGGACACGCGACATAGCTTACCTCAGGGTTTTGTGCAGTGTTTCGTGTTTGCTTCTTCGTGACGAGGTGTGTGTTGGCAGCTGCCTGTATGCGTTGGCAGTTGATAACTTAAAGTCCATGTGGCCAGTACAACGCTGCACGCCAAGCGGAAGAAGGAGCTAGCGAAGGCTCCAAGGAAGTCTCTCGCATTCCGGCCCGGTTCGGTGTCTCCTTGACTGTTTCCAGGCAGAGCTGAACCTTCGGCGCACGAGTGTGACGGAGCCTTGCCAGCATGCTCGAGCTCTTCCGGAAGGAATGCCAAGCGGTCACTCCGAGACGCTGCTCATGTCTGTGAGGACAAGAACTTCCGATGGCGGAACCTGCTGTGCACCAGCCACGCTACAGTGGCAGCCCGAAGTCTTTCCGAGCACCTTCTCAGTCAGAGCACCGCCTGTGGAAGGTGGGCGAGTATGCCGTTGGAGTCAGGCTCAGATGTGAGAGCAGAGAGCGAGAGCGAAAGAGAGAGAGTTTTGCCCGACAGTAGCAGAGGTTTCCACAGCTTGGTCTTTTTGGTTCGTGGGATCGCAAGCTGTCACAGTCCCTTCAGAAGACCCACACAATCGGGGGTCCCAGAGGCCAGGGGACTTCGAACACTCCCTAAGCCCTGTGGACGAAGAAAGAAGAAGAGGCAAAACTCCACGATCTACTTGACAGGCTGTACTTCGACTTGCTCCTTCTGTTGGTCATCGCCTTCGGTGTCCCGGTCCTAGACTGGCGAGGGGCAAGGGGCAGAGGGAGTGGTTCGAGCTTTGTTGTCATGGATCTTGGAGGCGCTGACAGCCACGACTTTGCCATTCTTGCTGACGCTCGGTGGCACTGGAGGGTTTCTGCTCTTCACTTCAGCAAATGTACGCGAGATTGCCTGGTCTCGCCTGTTGTGCAAACGAAGGATGTGCGCATCCAGCTCCGGTGGAGGTCCCGTGTTGAAGCAGCCCGGGCCTAAGAATCGGAAGAAGATGGGAAGCGTCTCGTGCGGGGTCTGACAGCCCTGTAATCTTGTCCAGGACTGACGACGTGTTGAGCACATTGGCGAAGTACTCTGTGGGAAACCTCGTGAGGCAGGCTTTCGATCAGAGCGACGTGGTGAGACCGGGAGCCAGCGCCCAACTCGGGCTCTCCGCTGTGTAGGTCGCCGGCAGCGGATGCCAGAAGCTCATCCAGACGCTCAGTCTCACCATTCTCACGCTTGCGTGTCCAGGCCACGGTGCACATAATGAACGAGTTCTTCGGCTCCATGGCGCAGGGCACCTGGTGACCGTGGGTTCATTGGGCTTGGGGCTCTCCTTTCTGCCCAGGCTGCTGGGCGTGCTGCTGCTGTACCGCTTCGTGCCGGTCCGAGATCGATGCTTCAGGAAGCCGCGAGTGTGTGTGTGTGTGTGCGCTTCGCTACGAGGTCATCATCCACCGGGCAACCTACACAGTGGCCCCCGGGGTAATTGTGATTCTGCGACTCTCGTGTGTGTGCCTTTGCCAGACCAACAATCGCAACCTGGCCAACCTGGCGATTCAGGCATCGCCGTGCTGAGCAGAAGCCGGGGAAATATTGACATGTGCAGGTCCGCGGTCTTCCCACCGATTTGGGCTACCATCACTTGGGCTACGAAGAGTTGCTTCGTGCCGCGGCCTCTGCGAAGACTGGGAGCCGGTGCAGCTAGTGCCTGCTTACTCTGCTGGGACGTGGTGCTACTGTCCAGGAGCACTTTCAGACGGTCGCCTACGAACAACCTCTGCGTGTGGAGTCTGCCTGTGTCGACTGCGATGATGTGTCCAGTGCAGATGCAGAGAGTGAAAGCTGCTTGGGGAGACACACTCATTGTATGCCAGATGGGCACAGAGCGGGAGCTGGATGACCAGCCTGTCCGAGAGGCTGTCTTGCGGCCTTTGGTGTATCCGCAACGCTCCGCAAAAACATATGACAGTTCCAACTTCACCCGCCGAAGTCTCCGTATCGATGTACTGTGATATAGGACAAGCATCGCCTTTCGCGCTACTTGCATCTTGAATGGGCAGCAGTGCGGCTAATATACGAGCACGATTCTAGAGACGAGAACTGTGACTGTCTGCGAGTCCGCCTTGGTTTAAGACTCTAAGGCTCTAAGAGCCAAGGCCAAGGGTAGCCGAGCCCTGACAGGTCGTCTTATGGCGCAACTATGACGCAGCCGTTCATGGAGTACTCCGGCAGGCTCTGCAGTTGTCTATTCACTCTGCCTGCGGTCGGATTGCAGTGTCCCTTAAGCCTTGAGCAGCACTGAGAAACAGAATGTAAGGGGAAACATGACCCAATGGACAGCAGCCTCCGTTCCGCACAGCCCCTCTGCTGTACCCGCACCCTGAGCTCTGACTGATGCGGACATGCGGCAGTACTAAGTGAGCTTGGTCAGTGTTGGTGTCCAGTAGTAAAGAGATCCCTCTCGTCGCGGCCTATGCATGTGCGCAGGTGGACCTGCAAGCCAAGCAATTCAGCGTCAACACAGAGCTCAAATTCTTGGAGCAGAAAGCTCGAGAGGCAACAGGTTCAATGGGCTTGACTCCGTGTGGAAGTGGCCAACGCAGTCTAATTTGTTGGTTTTACATCGAACTTCCCGCCCTCCCGATCCCTCGAATGCATGCAAAGCAGCAGAATTGTTCTGCTCACAGATGTCGTGCAGCATGCAGTCTGATGCCCGGACTTTCTAGCTCCGTGAAAGATGGTCTGAGCCAGATTGAGCCAGCATCGAAGACAGTAATTATGTGGCAGCACGACCTCTCGGAAGAGCTCGAGCACGACCTTGGCTACAATGCTGGCGGCGGGCTCCATCCTCATCCCACATAAATACTTGAAGCCTAGGGCTTTGCATGAGGGGGAAGCCGACTGACTGCAGAACTTCCTGGCACTCAGGCTTGCCCCGACTTCTGGTCACGAACCCGGTGCAGTTTCCTGTACCTTTGTGATTGCACTGTGTGTGCATGAAAGGCGCGAATTCAGATGTTGTATCACAGTGTTTGTGCACATGTGTGTGCTTGTGTCTGTGCCGGCATGTGTGTGCTTAGGCTGAAAGAACGACATAAGATTTGCATAGGCACTCGCACATATGCTAATACAGAAACATGCTATGTTACGCCACTATAGCTATCTATCTACTTCGTTTGCCTAGTTGCTGCTTATCTGTCTATGAATTTCTCTATTGTCTATCTATCTGTCTCTATCTCTCTCTATCCATCTCTATCTGTCCGTCCGTCTGCCTGTCTGTCTATCCATCTCACCCTTCAGTCACGCGCGCAGCACCCCCATGTGGGCAGATGTGAGCTAAGGCCGGCGCCAGTCGACGAAGGGCCGGCAGACCATGAAAGTCATGGCAGACAGGCCCCTTGGGTGTACCATATAGCATGTGAATTTTGGTGGCGGTGGGAGGGCGCGAGGGTTCAGTTCGCTGAGTTTCCTCTGAGTTGTTTGGTGCTTCCGTGCACTGAATTCAGGCAGAGCTCAGGGCTCAGCTTTCGTTGATGGCGGCTCTGTGAGAAACTGTGCCAAGTTGGCTCACAGGATTCGGGCCGTGCAACTAAGGCGCAGCATCTATCATGAGTCAGGGCCGGGCCGCGAGATGGATCGGAGCACATACTGAACCAACCCAAGCCCACTACATTGCGAAGGCCAGGAAGAGAGCAACTACTCTCATGACCGGGACTGAGCGGCTGATCTGGGGAAAACACAGCTTTGGATCGAAGACGCATCCAAGGCAGTTACCACCAATGCAGAGCGGATGTACGATCGGATGTGTAGCAGAGCGGATGCGCCCCTCTCAGTTTCATGTGTACGCTGGCAGTCTGTCGACAGACAAGACTGCAGTTGACACCAAGGGTGGCAAGCGATTGGCCAAGCGGCAGACCTACTTGCTCTCAATGTCACCACCCCGGTAATCTACAGAGAGAAACAAGACTAGATCAGCAACTTCACGTCGGGTGCGTTGTGCATGTGCTCTCCGCCCAGGAATGATCTGATAGAGGAGCAGATCCTTGAGATTGAGACGGAGAGGGCGCTGCACTCTGCCCGGGCCTGTTGGAACACTGTTGACGCGCTTTCCCTTTCCGACGGGGCACAGTGGTGGAAGCCGGTACCGAGGACTTGAAGCCGGAAGAGCGCGAGGCGAACAGAGCACAGGTGTAGTTAATGACTTGCTCTTCCCCCGTGTCTCTGTGAGGTCATGGGTGCCTTCGTGGTGTTTTGGTGCCAGCGGACTCGAGATGCTGTTCTGGGCCAGTACGGCTGGTCACGCTGCTGCCTCAGCCTGGCCTCAGCCAACTTCCTGCATGTGCAGCAAAGGCGACCACCTTACCCCGTCCTAGTCTTTGTTTAGGCGCATTTAAAATAGCAAGATGCATCAGGCCCGGCCTATGACGAGGTTCAGGATGCTTCCCTACGCCCAAGCTCTCCGTGAAATCCCTAGCGACGGGGATTCCCGAAGCCTACCCTGATGATTATCCAAGCGTGCCTTGTCGCTGAGGGTCTCTAGACTCTAGACACTAGACATAACATGGATTCCCTTCGGGGATCATCCGATAAAATTGGAACGATACAGAGAAGATTAGCATGGCCCCTGCGCAAGGATGACACGCACAAATCGAGAAGTGTACCAAAAAAAGAAAAAGAGATGTTATGTCACACTGACTCTCGATTCGAGGCACTCACAAGCACATTGACATGCAGAAACGTAGAGAGGAACAAGGAAGGAACTTGCTTTAGGCTCCTGGTGCTGTCGTGCCTGTTGCCAACGACGGCGCTTGCGCTGGGACCTGAGAACCTGGCAAGCGCACAGTTCAAGAGCCTTCAGAAGCCCAGGGGCGAAGGGATCCTGGGTGAGCGTCCTCACACATCCCACTCTTTCAGACTCCTGGTGCGTCCTTGTCTTCTGCTGATTGCTAGCGTGTGTTTACGTGTCGTCGTCCGTTCGAAACTGAAGCCCTCCACTTCCAACCAATGCAACGGCCAAAGCCACCCACGGCCCAGAATCTGAAAAACTCCCCCAAGCCTCCAACCACAAGAAGTCTTAAGCCCATAGTCATGATTTTGGAGAGAAGCAAAAGCGAGCGCTGGTGAACAAGCCTGAAGCCAGAAACCTTAAACTCAAAGTTGCGCAGGGCTCTATGGGTGCACTACAAAAGCTGCACGGCAATGGGGACAGCAAAAGGGAGAGAGAGAGAGAGGTTCGACAGACCCCTCATGCCCTGGGGAAGAAGAGAGACAGATATGAGGGGCAACCCTCGTCCGTAGCCCTGGCGAAAGAAAAAAATATATACAGAGATAGATAGATACCTAGATAGATAGATAGATAGATAGATAGATAGTGATTGTACTCGTAATCGTAATCTGAAACAAGCAGTACCATGGCAGCAGTCATCATAGCATTTTCAGAGTTAACATCTTCAAACCTGAACCCGAAACGATTCAACCAAGAGACGGAGATTTCTTCGCAGGTCTGAAGTTGCCGTTTGAGGCCGGATAGGGATGACCAGTCTGACCCATTTCGTGGGAGGGTGTGCAGTTTAAGGCTTGGGCTTTGCGGCGTAAGGTAGTAGGGATTAGGGTTTAGGACGTGGGTCTGGGGTTCAGGGTTCGGGGATGTTTGCGGTTTAGTCTTTACTGCTTAGGGTTTCAGGACATAGAGTTTTCAATTGGAGTTCTTGGGTTTATGGTTCAGGGTTCAGGGTTTGGGGCTTCCGGTTTAGGTTTGCGGTTTTGGGCTTGGGCTTTACGGTGTAGGGCAGTAGGGTTTAGGGTTCGGGATTTAGGGTTCCGGCGAAATCCCATGATTTGCCCGTTTCCGGACACCAAGTGCACGCATGAACCGGAACCGCGCGCAGCTTTGCGCCGCGGGCCGAGCGAGGATCTTCCTCAAAGGTCTCCGGCCTCTTGAACCTCGGAATCACAGAAGCCTCCAGAAGCCGTATGACACTCCGCACGTCCGGCAGGAGAGCAGTGGCTCCGAGGGCGCCCCCGACGAGGAGGAAGTAGCGATGCTCCCGGAGTGAAGGACGTCACCGTTTACAACAAGAAACGCTTTCAGGGAGACTATTCGAGGATCAAGGGCAGAAGTGCCTTTAGGTGGGGACGGCACTTGGAGTTGCTGTGCTAAAGGCGGAAACTGAGACGTTTAGCGGCGCCAGTACCTGCTACCGGGGAGGTCAATAGGATGTTTCAAGGCAACGCATGACAAGTGACAGCAGCATTCCATAGGCCGACAGATCCTGCTCTGAGAGAGCTTCTGGGCCGCCTCAACCTGCCAAAGCTTCGTTCCCGGTCCCAGGCTTTTCCTCTGATCGTCGAGGCCACACAGGTGCCCTTCCCATCTCTTTCCGTTGCACATTGTCGACAAGGGTGAGCCACTGCTGAGAACAACACTATGTAGGGTGCTGTTTCCATTGTTTTTGCGACTGTTGACTGTGCTTCCCTTCTCTGTGCTTCCTTCATGTGGCAGGACCCCAGCCTGCAGCTGTGGCAGAACATGGATGTGAAGCCGTTGATGCGGCTGCAGATCTGACGTGTTTCCCAAGACATGTCAGACCAACAAAACATGCTGTTGGTGACTGTGCAGTGGCGCTTGAACCACGATGGATCAAAGGTTTGCCGAAGCTCTGCAGCTCGCCTCCGCTGTTCTCTTGCCAGGGCCATGGGCTGTGTGATGAGCATCGTATGGAGCTCAGTGATGTCAAGTCAGCTTTCTCCCGTGTTCTTGCTGGTCGATGTCCTCGTAAGTTGAGGTTGCAGTGTCAATGTCTAGTTAGCACTTTTTGTATTTGCGACTTGACAGCATCAACTAGCCGCCCTCAGTTTGTTTGTGTGTGTGTGTGTTGCACTGCAACTTGAAGGGCCAATCCTGCATGCTCAACTGTGACCAAGTGCCGCTTCTTGGTCTTCAATCTCATCTTCATCGCCGGACTCTCATCTTTCAAGTGCTTGTGGTGATCAAATCGATGTCCCCTATGTTGGTGGCCCCATGGCTTTCGGTATTCGGGGACGGACGGACATGGAGTGGCCGAAGCATCCCCCAGTTCAGCTGCAGGTTTCCTGCGTTACCATGTCTACGCACGTCTACTACCCCTTGTTTCTGCCAATCGATGCCGTGGCCTCGGAAGTGCCAGTGCAGGGACGGTCTTGATCCCCAGGCATGCACTTTGCAGATGATCGTTTTAACTATCGCTTTGAGTCCGAGGCGAAGGTTTGGCTGATTACGAACGTCTCGGAGCCCGTCGTCAGCTCCAGCGATGATGCTCGCGGCCCTGGTCGGACTCGCCCCGGGGGTTTCGTTTACTGAGATGACATGGCCGGTGTTTATCATTCGTCGTATTGTTAAAACTGCCGTGCTTGCTGCTGGTCTCAGTTGCCTGGTCTGTTTGTCGCATCCGGGACTCCTGATTCGATCAGATCCTCCGACCTCTTACTGTAGCTGCCATTTTTAGTTTGGTGCTCTCGTATTCATGCAATAGGTAAGCAGGTAAGCTTTTGCTATAGGTCAGCATCACATTTCGAATTCTGTTCCTGAGTTGTTGTATACCATATTTCGTGGTGCATTGTCATGTTATGTAGCACCATGTCACCACATTGCATGTGCTCCTGCTCCTGCACTCTCAGATACGCGATAGTTTCGCGTTACTACTGTACTTGTTTTATCGCTAGATGTTAACTGGATTTTTCTGACGTATGCGCGGATGTTGTTGTATTGTATATGGTTTAAGCTATGTTAAACCGTGCTTGTCGCTGAGGATTGGAAATTTGGATTTGCTATACTTGTAAGGAGTCTTTGTCAGTGTATTTTCGTGCTGCAAGATTGTTGTGTAGTCAGGTCCTGTAGTACTGTGACCCCCAGCCCTTGCGCTGAAGGTTCCATGTTGGCGTTCCTGCGAGCTGGAGCTCTTTGGGGACGAGTGCGGTCCTCATTCTGTCCCAGGGCCTTGGGCTTAAGGAAGCTCTCCACGAAGCCCTAAACCCTAAACCCTAAACCCTAAACCAAAACCCGTAAGGGAAACCTCGAAGCCTGCAGCCTGATCCCTGGAATGAAGGGTCGAAGCTCAAGCTCTTCAGCCAGGCTCTGCTCGGAGCGCAAGGATCCTTACATGTTTGCGTGGCGCTGAGAATCTCCTCTGGTCCCGCTTTTTTTCGGGTCAAGTTGGGCCTTGATGCAGTAGGATCTAGGAATCTAGTTTTCCTCCTCTCAGGCCCGCCCCGGCTTGCGATGTTACAGTTGCGCTCGAACAAGGGGGGCTGGTCGTGTCAGGCTCTTGATGCGATCCCCAGACAGCTCAGGTTTCCAGCAATGGGCTCCCCATGCGTTTGCATCTCAGTCTGATCTCAATACCGCGCCAAACTTCCAAAGGATATGGCTTGTTCAGATCCACCACGTCTGATGGGTTTCCAAACCTAGGATACAATGTCGAATTCAGTGTATGGCCGGGTCATAGACGGTCATATAGCCTTTCACCATCAAAACATTAAGACAAACCTGTGTGAGCAGGAATGGTGAGGCGTAGTTCCGCTGTGCCAGCAGTGGCCTTAACAGTTGCATTCGTCTCAGGCCGGGATGCTGGGCTGCAAGCAGTGGGCGATCGAAACCTCGCTGGAGGAAGCATGTCGCGACCCAGGTTTCTGACTGTCAAGAGCAGTGCTACAGTTTTTTTTGTTCGTTCTTGTCATGGTCACTCTTGCTATGACTGTTATTGCGGCTACCTTTTCTCTGACGGTTGCTGGTATGAGCACCACCCCTTCTACGGAATGGTTCACAGTCAGCGGACCAGACGCGGCAACGAACCCGCGGAGATTCGTTTCCAGCTCCGACTCTCTTGTTGCACCTTATCGTAACAGGCTTAGGAAAAACACTGGCAGCCAGGATCAAACTTGAAGCAAACCAGGGAGGACTAGGCCACTAGGCAACAGGAGCCAGAGCGCATCTTCTGTCTGAAGTTGCCACCATACCAGTAGCAATACTTCTCGCAGAATATACAGCAAGCAAACCGAGCGAGACAGGTCCGTAGAAGTCCACGCTGAGGTGCATCAGCGATTTCAGGTCTTCGAGCTGCTGGGTCGTGGGCTCGGCCGGCGTTTGGTTTAGATCGACTCGCGGGCTCCGAAATCAAAGTTTAGGGCACGCCGAGTTTAGGGTTTAGGTTTTCAGAATAGCAAAGTCATGGTAGTATGACGATTGTGATAGTTTTTGTCCAGGGAATTCTGAGGATAATTGGAGGAAGAATAGAGGTCAGGACAGAGCAAGCACTTGCAGTTAGCAGTCATGATTGTCAGAAGCAGTCACAATTCACAATGATGGTCTTGTCTTGCTGGCTCTCCCGCGCTTACCAGCGCAACATGGTAACAAGCAGAATCCCTCGTAGCTTGCATAGGATTCGGCGCTTCAGAGGACAAGAAGTTGTGCCTCAAAAGTCCTGATTTTTGACGCGCTATTCCTGGACACAACTTTCAACTTCTCTTCTGATTATTTTCATCATCATCATCATCATCCTCACTTTCTCGGAGCTCCACATCTCGGGACGGTTTCAAAAACAGGCTCATTCAACAACAGGCCCATCTAAGCACGAGGATTGGTGATGATGATGATGATGATGACGATGATGCTGATCATGGCAATGGTGAAAGTGATGATGATGATGATGATGATTATGATGATGATGATGGTGATGATCATGATGCTGCTGCTGCTGCTGCTGCTGCTGCTGCTGCTGATAACCATGATGATGGTGAAGGCGATGACGATGCTGGTGGTGGGTTGGTGAGGGTGGTGGTGGTGCTGGTGCTCGTGCTCGTGCTCGTGCTCGTGCTCGTGCTCGTGCTCGTGCTGGTGGTGGTGCCGGTGGTGCTGGTGGTGCTGGTGGTGCTGGTGGTGGTGCTGGTGGTGCTGGTGGTGCTGGTGGTGCTGGTGGTGGTGGTGGTGGCGGTGGTGGTTTTCAAGCGGGTAGTCGCTGGGCGGGCAGCTTAGCTACGACCAGCAATTTGGTGGTAGTGCCGGTTGTTTCATGATACTTCTTGTGAGAAGGAGGAGGAACAGCAGCAATAAGAGCGGCCCACATTGGAGCCTTTGCAGTGAACGCGGGTTCTCCTTTGGCCACAGCCTTACTGCCAAAACTATGCAAAGGACTCCCGGTTCAGTTCTAGCTCCATTCCGCCTCCTGGTCTGTTGACTCAAAGATGATCATGCGTGCTTGACTTCAGTCGGATCGCCCAGGAGGCCATCAGCCTGGAGTCTGCGGAGAAGACTTGCCACGAAGGCCGTGGCTGCTCCGTCTGGAGCTCAGTTCTCCGAGATGTGCCCAGGAGAGGTTTCGCGGATAGAGCACAGGGACGAGGGGTCTGCGGCCATGCGTAAGGCCAGCCGACGTTTGGAGAGCGAAGATCCGATGCACGACTGGAGCGAGGACGTGCAGGAGGACTTTCGGCTGTACCAGACTATACTATACCATACTGTACTTTACTAATTGTACGACAATATACTAAGTTAGACCCTATGAAGGTGATGCTATTTCAACAATTCTATTTTTCTGAGCCCTTGGGGGGTTCAGATTCCACTGCCGCTGATGTCAGGATGCCTGGGCCGAAGCTCCGCTGTTCCTTGGAGTCGAATAAGTTCACCCTTTTTGCCGCCGAATCCGAAGGGTTTTGGAGTTTAGGGTTTACGGCTTAGGATTGAGGTTGAGGGTTTGTCAAAGGGTTGAGGGTTCCGGGTTGAGGGTGTAGCAGTATAGCAGACAAGTCTAGCCCTAAAAGTCTTGCCGGCTCGATTGTCGAAGACTTCTAGTGCATGTTGTGTGCAAGGGAATCAGAAGCGGCTCTGCGATTTGTTGTGTTTAGCCTCCAAATTCCGAGACCCCCAGTTCCCCCGACTTTCAGATAAGGTCCCCGAGCACGGACACTTCCAGGCCGGAGAAAGTAGAATTTGGCGGAACGACTCGTACCAATCCTTGGGTTCGCTCGCTTTGCGGCGCAGCAGTGCAGGCAGGTTAGATCGCTTGAGCTTCGGCAGATCATGGCAACAGCGCGGCGAAGCGGATCTGCTGGCAAACGCGACCGAATATTTATAGGATAATTTTGCGAGTCATGTTTGAGTATAAAGAAGCAATCGAAACATGCAAGAGAAAGGCTGAACAACAATCATCATCAATCACTCCATTTCTTGACCTTGGCCGGCACAACAAGGGCTTCAGCGAAGAACCTGCAGTTGGGTTCGCTTTGGAAGACAGCCGCAAAAGGGCCGCAAGCAGCTCCATGGCGATCAAACTTGACGGGGACTGAGGACCTGTCAGCGTCTATCAGCTAGCAGGAGCACGCTACGTATTCACGAGATTTGATTTGCATGGAGCTAGATTCTGCGCATTTCCTGTTGGAAGATGGGAAATTGGTTCTATGAATACAACGGCGGTCAAACGTCACTGCTCATAAACAGCTCCTCCCCAACCTGGGTGATCACGCGAGAGTCGCTGTGATCGGTCAGGCAGCTTACTGCAGCTTGCCCTTGGGTCTCTGCAGGTGCCGGGCTCTGTTTTGCGCATATGCTTGCATAGCCCATTTCGGTGCTTGATTCTGGTCCGTTTCAGACTTGGATTTGCAGACTTGCTCGCACTTGATCCGCGGGGTAAAGGAGAGTCCAGCTGCGCCTGTCAGGCAGTTACAACCTGAGCTTGATAACGTACACCATTCGCTACCAGACCAAAGCTTCGTCGCCACGGCCTTGGCGCTCCGGCGAAGCCAGGACTATCGTAGCAACGTCGTAGTATAGTATACTGATACAGTATAGAATATATTCTTTTCAGTTGTGCTACACTACATCCTGCTGTATCCTGCTGCAAATTTGCCGATAGTTTCAGGTTGGCTGGGGCTACTGCGATCCAGACGCTGCTGAAGACATCCCTCGCATCCGTGCGTGGCACAGATTGTTCTTGTAACATGCTGCTCGAAGACGCAGGATCTGGAGATGTCTGGAGTGTGCGCAAGACAGGAGTGGCGCCACTAATGTTGCTGCTGCTGGTGCTACTGCTGCTGCTGCTGCTGCTACTACTACTACTACTACCACTACTACTACTACTACTACTACTACTACTACAACGACAACTACTACAACTACTACAACAACTGCGACTGCGACTGCTACGACTACGACCAACGACGACGAAGACGACGACAACGACTACTATCACTACTGCTGCTACGATTACTGCAGCCATCGCCACCGCCGCCACCACCACCAACACCACCGTGGTTCTCAACAGT